AACATTTAATGTTAACCTGAAAATTCCACTTTTAAAGAAAAATGTCACCAAAATAGAAAACCACTAACACCTACAAGAATAATACAGCATACACATTTGCTACCTGCCACTAAATACTACATACATAGCTCACCATGAAATGCTATTACTTCACTAAAATCATGGAGTTTCATGTGCTGTCATGAAAAATATTTTTCCATTAATTATATTGGAAAAACTTGGTTGATAGTCCATATTTACATGAAATTATATAAATCGTAAGTATACACAAGTATGTGTATTCTTAAATATGGATAAACTGATAAGAATAGATACTACACTTGATCTTAGCCAAATATCATCACAACATAATTATCAAAACTTAAAGAATGTGAAGGATCTAGATCAGAAAATAAGCAATACTAGTGATAAAAGTCCAGCGGTTCATCATATGACATACCTTGGCTTTTTTTTTCTTGAGACCATTTGGTACTAAATAATACGGAAGGTGGGAAGTGAAAAGACGAGGAGATGGACTATTGATAAAATCCACGTTATGCAAATTATACTCAAGAAAAGGAATTAAATCCAATGTTGGTTTTTGTGAAGTATTGTTCCGGTGGTCTTCATAATATATCAAGCTTAGTATCTGCTGAGTCCAGATTGTACCTGTAAAAAGAAATAATCTTATTTTCAACTCTGAATTGATATCTTGTAGTAAATGCAGACATTCACACAAATCATCCTGTACCCCATTTAACCTCTCTAAATATGCCCATTAACTTGTCTGTTGTTAAGTGTCACCTAGTCAACCACAGCTCACAGGGGGCCTTTGAACAACAGATCTGAGCTTTGTCCTTTCCTGTGCCATCATCAGGAACTCCAGCATGTTCAAAACTATTGTTAGAGTCACTGTATTAATCCACGATCTTCCTCTCATGTCCAAAGCACAGGAGACAAACTTTCACTAGCCTTTCCTCTCAGGAGCACCCTTTTCCTTCTCAATGCTATGCATACTTTATTATTCACGCAGTCAAATACCTTTGTATCATCAATACAACACAAGTAAACATCTTTATGGTATTCTCTAATTTCAGCCAACATCCTTCTAGTATCAGCAATGATATCCCTTATGCCATGACTTCTAAACTTGACTTGAATTTCTGAAAGTTCTCTGTTGATATTTTGATGTTCTATATGTTTTCAAATAATCTCCAGCAAAATTTACTTCTATCTTACATGGACATTTTATAACAAACAGTATTAAAGAAGGTTGTCTTAACCCTAAGTAAATAGTAAACAAAAATCAGTCACAACACTGAATACAAATATCACAAATATTTAAGATATTCTTGAAATTAAAAAATTTAAAAAAGAACTCATTGATCTATCCAGTAGTTTCTATCTTTGCTATTATGATGAATATAAATAGTATATAATAATATAAATAATAGAAATAGAAAGAAATTAGAAATAGAAATAATAGAAATAGAAATATAGAAATAGACAGACATAGACATAGACATAATAGAAATATAAATAAATAGAAATAGAAATAATAGAAATAATACAAATAGAAATAGAAATAGAAATAGAAATAGACAGACATAGACATAGACATAGACATAGAAATTAGAAATAGAAATACAAATGCAAATACAAATACAAATAGAATAGAAATAGACATAGACATAGAAATAATAGAAATAGAAATAGATACTAGAACTAGATATAGAAATAGATAATAGAAATAGAAATAATATAAATAGAAATAGAAATTAGAAATAGAAATAGTTCACAAGAGGCAAACTGAGATCAACCTTAGAAGGACTAGTTTAAAGTATAGAGAGACTGTCAAATACAACCAGAAATGCACAATCTGAAGAGTATGAGACCTTCTAAAGACTAAATTCCTGTGTACCTCAAAAACATTTTCTATCTACAGACTGGGAAAAAAATATTTGCCAATACCATTTCAGACAAGGGTCTCATAACAAAAGTTTACCAAAACCTACAGGCTCTCCACAAGAAAAAGTCAGATCTCACAACTACAGAATGAGCAAAAGACATGGAAAGAATGTTCACAGAGAAATACATTCAGATGATCAACAGGAACATGAAGAAATGCTCAAAAATCACTGGCAATAAGAAAGATGCAAATCAAAACCATAATAAAATAACATCTCACTCCAGAATCAGTGACAAAGTTTAACTGCACAGCAACTAATAAATGTTGGAGAGGATGTGGTGAGATAGGAACTCTTATACACTGTTGGTGGGATTATAAAATGGAACAACCATTCTGGTAGGCAGTATGGCATTTCCTCAAAAAGCTGAACGTAGAAATTCCATACGACCCAGCTATCCCACTGCTTGGAATATACCCCAAGAAAATGTAAACTGAGGCACAGAGATTTGTACACCAATGTTCATAGCAGTGTCATTCACCACTGCAAAAACGTGGAAACAGCCCCAAATATCCAACCACAATTGAACGGATTGAGAAATCATAGTACATTCACATGATGAAATACTACATAGCATGCAGGAGCAATGATTTTGAAAATTACTACCTAACTTGGAGAGTTTGGAGATCATTATGCTAAGTGAACTAACTTGGTCCCATAAGGACAAACACTGTATAAGACCATTATTGTAGAAATAGAAAGATAACTTGTTAAATGTGTATGAGGATCCAAGGGGAGTTTGGGGGAGGTAGAGGCATTTGACTGTGTGGGTCACAACAAACTGTGGCTGACTCTGAGAAAAATGGGAATCCCAGAATACTTGATCGTGCCAATGCAAAACCCACACTTGGACCAGGAGGTAGTCATTAGAACACAGCAAGGAAACACTCCATGTTTGAAAATTTGGAAGGATGTGCATCAGAGATGTGTCCTATCTCCATACTTTTTCAATCTGTACGCAGAACAGATTATCTGGGAGGCTGAGCTTTATGAGGAGAAGTGTGGCATCAGGATTAAAGGAAGATTCATCAACAATATGTGTTATCCAGATAACACAATGCTGCTTCCTGAAACTGAAGAGGACCAGAAGCGCTTGCTGCAGAGGGTCAAGGACTGCAGCCTTCAATATGGAATGAAGCTCAATGTCAAGAAGACAAAGATTCCCACCATGGGCCAATTGACAGCATCAGGATGGATGGTGAAGAGATTGAGATTGTTCACAGCTTTAGTTTGCTTGGCTCCATAGTAAAAACTCTTGGTACCAGCAGCCAGGAAATTAAAAGATGTATTGTGATGGCAAAGTCTGCTGTTAGGGACCTCTCCAGAGTACTGAAAAGAAATGATGTCTTTCTGGAGACTATGGTGCGCCTGGTATAGGCCATGGTCTTTGCAAACACTTGCTATGCATCAGAGAGCTGGACAATGATTATGGAAGATAGAAGGAGAATTGATGCCTTTGAACTGTGATATTGGAGAAGAGTATTTAATATACCCTAGAGAGGGTTAAACCAGGCTGCTTATTGGAAGCAAGGATTCTGAAGCTTCTTTTGACATACTTTGTACATGTTGCAAGGTACCAGTCCTTGGATAGGGACGTCAAGCTTGGGAGGGGGGAGGGACAGCATAGGGGACGAAGACCTTCTATGAGGTGGATTAATTCAGTGACTGGTGTAATGGGGGTGAGCGTGTCAGAGACTGAGATTGGCACAGGACAGAGTAGGGTTTAGGGCTGTAGTACGTAGGGTCGCTATGAGTTGCAGGTGACTCGACGGCACATAACAACAACAACAGTAGTTAACAACATAGTTTAATGTATAAGCAATAGTTGTAGCAATTACTCACTATGTGTCAGAGAGCTGGGCAATGACTAGGGATGATGTCTTTGAGCTGTGGTGCTGTAGAAGAGCACTGAATATACAATGAACTGCCAAGAGAACAAACAGGTTCATCCTAGAGAGGGTGAGACCAGGCTGCTCCTTTGAGGCAAGGATTCTGAGGCTTTGTCTGGCATACTTTGGGCATGTTGCAAGGAGGAACCTGTCCTTGGAAAGGGACATTGTGCTTGGGAGGGTGGAGGGACGGAGAAAGAGAAGGAGACTATCGATGATATGGATTGATACAGTGACTGGGGTAGTGAGGGTAGGTAGGTGTATTAGAGACAGTAAAGTTGACACAGGATAGAGCAGGTTTCAGGACTATTGTGCATAGGGCCGCTATGAGTCACAAGCAATTTGATGGCATATAACAACAACAATGGTTAAATGTGCCAACTAGTGTAAGTCCAAACCTCTTAGGAATTTATTCTGACTTCAAATTTACTACTAGTAAAAACTCAACAACTTCCTCATATATTTTTCTCCCATTATCAGTTCAAGTCAATGGACTATTATTTGCAAAGTATTTCTTTTGACTCAATATTTGATTTCTTTATATTTGCCATTAGAGTAACAATCATTGTAAGTGGGCTACATCACAGCAATCTGAGCTTTATTTGCATTTTTTCTGTTCTTCAATGATGTCTTAATATAGGTTAAACTGCTATTCATCTCTGGGGCTAGAGAGGTATATTTCTACACACAGTTTAACACACGAGAGTAAGACAGATAACAATAGGTATAATACTCAAACTTACCAGATTTTGGATACGTGATTAGGAAAACGTCATCATCTCTAATTTCAAAATCCTCTAGATTTTCTAGTATACTCATATCAAGCACAGGACGATCAAAATAATAGCCTTTAAATTTCAATAAATATGTGTCTAGGTCTTCCATAATTATCCACCTACAAGCAAAAATACAAAATTATCTTCAAGTTCTTAGTATTTTATGATCATATCTAGCACTTACTAAATCCTTAATGTACCTGCCATCATTTTTATGTCTACATCAAATTTACTTATTTAACGTAGTAAACATCTTATATATATTAAATCATGTAATCTTCATAGGAACTCAGGCAATAGGAATTAGGTATTGTTATAACTACTATCCTAAAGGTAAAGAAATTGATATTAAAAAAATAATAAAGGGTTAAATAGCTGTCCTTAAAACCTAATGAGTGAGGTATTTCCATATGTTCAAACACAGAGATGAAGAAATGAAGCCAGGGAGAGGTTGACCAAATTTCTCAAAGCTGCCCAGTCAACAGAAAAAAAGAATAAAGAACTGATACAAGCAGTTTGGCCACAGAATTAAAGCTTTTAATTATGTCAAAACAGAGTTATTGGACTTTAAAATATATTACATCAATTTAGTTACTAGATGTGCTGGATGCAGGCCATGGTCTTCACAATTACATGCTATGGATCACAGAGTGGAATAATGACTAAGGATGACAGAAGAATTGATGCCTTTGAGTTATGGTGCTGGAAAAAGTATTGAACATACCATGGTCCACAAAGAGGACAAATTGCTCTGGTTTAGAGTTGGTGAAAAACCAAGTTTCTCTTTAGAGACTAGGATTTTGAAACTCAGCCTCACATATTTTGGGCACTTGGCCAGGAGACATCAGTCCTTAAAGAAGGACATCACGCTTGGAAGGGTGGAGGGACAGAGCAGGAGAAGAAGACTCCAAACAAGATAGATTGACATGATAACTGGGATGATGGAAGTAGGTGTGTCAGAGTCAGTGAGACTGGCTCAAGGGAGGGCAGGCTTCAGAGCTAATGTACATAAGGTCACTATGAGTCACAGGCAACTCAACTGCACGTAACAACAGCAATAAAATTTACATTTTGCATTATTTTCATTGATGTAGAAATAAGAGGTTCTTTAATGAACGCAGTTGTCATCAGTTGTTTTCTGTAAATTAGTCTACTGTATCTGATAGAAGCTTTTACAACTTTGAGATGTGTTACAGTATGCTAAATGATTTGTAGGAAATGGTCCGCATGGTTAATTACAATTGGTGTTCTTTTTAAAAGTTGTCTAGAAATAGTTCCTAGGTATTGCATGGTAATTGTGATAATTTACAACATAAATTCTTAAAATAATAACTATCATATCAACCTAAGTGTGAAATGCAATAGTAAAAAAGGGGAAGACAGTTGAAAATGTATCTGTTCAACAGGGACTAGGAAAGCATTTTTTGTTATTAGCTTTGTTTCAGAAATCTATTCTCAAATGTTAAGAATGAGGATTCCCAAAATTTTAACAATATTAGGTTAGGATCAGCAAGTAAATTAGACTGTTTAGTTAATTTTTAATACTTGTATACATAGAGATATCAATTATTTTTTAAAAACTGTAAATATACTTTCACTAATTTGCATATCAATAAATACTACACTCATTTATAAACAACCTAATTTATACAAATAGTAGAATAAAGTCAGACAATTCATACTTATCAACTTACTTCATACATATCAATAATTTATACTTCTGGACACTAGTCAATCTGGCAGAAACAGAATTTCTGGCAGGTGGCACATGAGAAATTTTATTTTAACAACACCACCCTTTAAAAATAAAAATGAGAAGCAAAATAAAATATTTTCTTGATTTCAGTGAAATTTTATCCAAACTACTGTGGGGTAAAATTTGATGTTCATTTGAGAGACATAAGGTCCCTTCTAAAGAAATAGAGCTTTGCTCTTCTTCCATAAATTCAAGTACAAACAACCTGAACTTTTGAGATATTGGTATAGAACAACCTGGCTGATAAATTAAAAAGAAGGTTTTCAATAGTGGTAGGCAAAGAGACATTTTAACATTAATATCATGAATTTTCAAGAATCAACCTAGTTAATTTAGGATTAGAAGGGATAAAATAGATTTAAAAGGTGCAACATAGAAAAACAATTAGCCTGTAAGAAAAAGTTGGCTTTAAAGAGATCATTACAAAGGCAGAAGAGGAAGAAAAGATGAAGATGGATGTCAGATGAGACGCTAAATATTGTATTAGAGCGCTGAGAAGTCAAAGCTAAAGGAAGAAATAGAGACATTAAAGGGCTGAACAGAAAATTTCAAAGGGCAGCATGGGATGACAAAGCAAGATACTCTAATGAAATGTGCAAAGAGCTGGAGTCAGAAAATAAAAAGGGCTGAACTAGCTCAGTGTGTCTTAAGCTGAAGGACTTGAAAAACAAATACAAGCCACGAATGGCAATACTTAAGGATGTTTTGGGCAGAATGTTAAATGATCCAAGAAGCATTAAAGAAGATGGAAAGAGTATACAGAGTCACTGTTACCAGAAGGAATTGGATGACACAGGAGAATTTCATGAAACAAACTATGAGCACGAACCTGTAGTGATGAAGGAGGAAGTTCAAGCTGCTCTGAAAAAATTGGCAAAAAACAAGGCTCCAGGAATTGATTCTGTCCTGGATGTGCTCACTAAGTTGTACCAAGAAATCTGGAGGACAGCTCGCTGGCCAACTAACTGGAAGAGATCAATATTTGTTCCCATTTCAAAAAAGAGTGACCCGACAGAGTGTGGAAATTATCAAACAATCTCATTGATATCACAGGCAAGCAAGATCCTGCTAAAAATTATCCAAAAACTACTGGAACAACATATCAACAGAGAATTGCCAGATGTGCAGGCTAGGTTTAGAAGAGGCCGTGGTACTAGGGATATTATAGCTAATATTAGATGGCTCATGGCAGAAAGCAGAGAGTACCAGAGGAATGTCTATCTGTGCTTCATTGACTGTGAGAGGCTTTTGACTGTGTGGATCAAAACAAACTGTGGCTGACTCTGAGAAGAATGGGAATCCCAGAACATTTGATTGTGCTTATGCAAAACCTCTACTTGAACCAAGAGACAGTCATCAGAACTTAGCAAGGAGACACTGCATGATTCAAAATCAGGAAGGGTGTACACCAGGGATGTATTCTGTTTCCATAACTGTTCAAGCTGTGTGAAGAACAGATCATACGTGGTATGAGGAGGAATGTGGCATCAGGATTGCTGGAAAAGTCATCAACAATATGCGTTATGCAGATGACACAACAAGCCTGCTTGGTGAAACTGAGGAGGACCTAATGTGCTTGCTGCAGAAGGTCAGGGACTGCAGCCTTCAATATGAATTGAAGTCAGCATCAAGAAAATAAAGATTCTCATGACTGGGAAGATTGGCAGCATTATTATGGGTGGTGAAAGAATTGAGATTGTTAACAGTTTTAGCTTGATTGGCTCCACAATCTAAACTCTTGGCACCAGCAGCCAAGAAATCAAGAGATGTATTGCATTGGGAAAGCCAGCTGTCAGAAACCTCTCAAAAGTACTGAAGAGCAAGGACGTCGGGCAAGAGACTAAGGTGTGCGTGGTCTGGGCCATAGTCTTCACAATTGCATGCTATGTGTCAGAGAGCTGGATAGTAACTAGGGATGATAGAAAGAAAATTGATGCCTTTGAGTTGTGGTGCTGGAGAAGAGTGTTCAATATACCATGGACTGCTAGGAGAACAAACAGGTTAATCTGAAGAGGGTGAAACTGGACTGCTCCTTGGAGTCAAGAATTCTGAAACTTCGTCTGACATAGTTTGGGTATGTTGCAAAGAGAGATCAGTTTTTGGAAAGGGACATCATGTTTGGGAGGGTGCAGGGACAACGCAAAAGAGGAAGACCCTTGATGAGATGGATTGATTCAGTGATTGGGGTAATGGGAGTAGGTGTGTCAGAGACAGTGTGGTTGGCACAGGGTAGAGCAGGGTTTAGTGTTCTTGTACATAGGGTCGTTCCACGTTGCAAGCGACTTGATGGCACATAACAAGAATAACAACATCGCTAAGTCAGTTTCATAAGGACAAATACTGTGTAAAACCATTATTGTAGAATAAGTATGAAGTTTCAAGAGGAGGTGGGGAGGATGAAAGCAGAGGTGAGGATACGTGGGTGTGGAGTGGTTAATCATACTGTCGCATAATTTAATGGATGGGGTGAGGTTGAAGGAAATGGGAAAGATCTGGTGTGAAAAAGAATGTACTCAAACTTTGTAAATAAATCAGTAGGAAGAAAAAAAAAGTGAGTCACTATCACTGGACCACTCCGAATACCTCACCATGAATCTACACATAATCCAAAATCAGAATATCAATGAAAGGAAGAGAGTGAGGTAATCCATACAGAAATTCTGTTTATGCTTCCTTTTTTACCCTCAGTTGCTTTATATGAGTTTAACCATTTAATCCACCTGCCTTTCATATTTTTAAGAGAGAAAGAATTATGATCTAGACCATAAGGAGTTACACCTCCAGCCCCAATTGTCAAGCTTTTCTGGTGGTTCACATGCATCAGTGACTGTGTGAGGGAGAGATGGACAATCTCTTCTACTGTGATTTATAACCATGGAAACCACTGAAAGCAATGACTGGTTGAGCAAGCTAGTGACTGTCATTGAGGCAAAAGGGCAAAAGTGAAATGGATTCAATAAGATATCGTTTGACACATTCTCTGCATCTCCTTGATCAATAAAGGAAAAACTGGTTCAGTGAAGAGAAAAGGCATCTACCTTTTAAGAGAAAAAATGAAGTATGTATCTTCATTTTATACTCCTATCAATGGTAAAAAAATGGAGAAAAATAGAAAATAGTAGATAAAAAATAAAACTCCTTTTTAATGCTAACAAGAGACTTGAAAGAGGCTTTACCTTTACTTACTGTTGAAGAAAATGTGCCTCTGATAAAAAAATTTCAGGCAGGAGAGCAACTGACTTGTTGCTGAGAAGTAATTCTAATGGTATTTTGTTTTGGCCAATGAGTCATGTTTTTGAGAATTAGCATTTGGAACAGCTTATATCAATATCAATAAGGTTTTATTGATATTG